TTCCTTCTTTGAGAATTGATCTAAGGTACTAATTCTTGTCTTTTTTAAGTGATCTCTTTTGGGGTGTTTTTCTTTTAATTTCACATTTGCAACTATCTTCATCTTTCTTTTTTTTGAAGATATTATTCATTTATTCATGAGGGACACACAGAGAGAGGCAGAGACACAGGCAGAGGGAGAAGCAGGCTCCCTGCAGGGAGCCCGATGTGGGACTCGATCCCAGGACCCCAGGATCACGACCTGGGCCTTAGGCAGACGCTCAACCACTGAGCCACCCAGGTGCCCAATACATAAAATCTTTAAAAAAAAGCAAAACAAAAGGGCAGCCCGGGTGGCTCAGTGGTTTAGCCCCTGCCTTTGGCCCAGGGCGTGATCCCGGAGACCCCGGATCGAGTCCCACGTCAGGCTCCCTGCGTGGAGCCTGCTTCTCCCTCTGCCTGTGTCTCTGTCTCTCTTTCTCTCTCTCTCTGTGTGTGTCTCTCATGAATAAATAAATAAAATCTTTAAAAAAACAAAACAAAAAACCCAACACTCCTTGTGATGCAATAGGACTCACCATCCTCTGAAGAAAGAAAACACATATCGATGGTCCTGTGGGGAATGGTAATTGGGACTGTCCCCACTCCTACCTGTCACATAATGAGCAGCTTCTGATGTAAATGGAAGCGTGAGGACAGCCTCCCTTCAGGTGAACCGGCTGCCTCCTGGGAGCACTGCTGCCCCATGGCCCAGCTCTGCCCCTTCGGCTCCGCAGCCACGTGGACGCTGTGGCCACATCGTCCTTGGGCTGCTTCCAGCCAACCCTTGAGCCTGGCAGAGGTACTCGTCCTGGGTGCCTCCTGCTTGACCTGGGTCTCTCTACTGGCAGCCTGTGCTCGGGGCCTCCCCAAAGGCCTGGCACGCACCTTCTCAGAGCCGCGCTGCCCTCTTCCCACTGAAACCTTCCTTCCCTGTCTCCTTCACAGATGTCAGACCTGCTCTCCCCTCTCTCCTACACAGGCATTGGCCCTAAGAAATCTCTCCAGGGTCTGCTCCTGGCTTGGCACCTGCTTCCCAGCCTCCCACCACCCACCTGACGGGGCCACAGGTGGCTGGGTGCGGACCCCCCACCTGTCTGCTGCAACAGGAGCTCTGGGTGGCCCCCCCAGCCACGGGTCGGGTGTGGGGAGGTTGCTGGCTCCCCCACAGGGGGGCTGGCTTTTCCTGGTAGCCCACCTTTGAGAGAAAAATGACTGTTTTATCTCTCGCTGTGGCCTGGAGCCTTTTTATCTTATTCCAGAGAAGTTCCTGATCTTTTTTTAAAAGAAGATTTTTCAAAAAGATGCCTTCCTTGAACTTTCAGAGGGAATTCGGACGATTAATTTTTCAGATTCTCTGCTCAGTCTGCCATTAGCTGGAAGTAGTTTTTTTCTTCAAGCTAATTTCTTTTTGCAGGCCCATAGCACGCTTTCTCTCACTTCAAAGACCACTGTCTGAAAAGCTCCCGTTTGAAGTCTGTCAGTAATTCAAATGTGACCTTTGGGATTGTCCTGCTGGAGAACAGCCGGTAGAGCTGAGGTGTGCTTCCTGCACACACACCTGGTGCCATCGAGTCAGACAAGCCCCAGCATCCGTCAGACCGTTTTCTCTCTTCCTTTTCCCTTGGTTTGCTCAGCTCAGCTGTGTGTTGGGGCCGGGCTTGGTTTTGAGCATCACTGATTTTTTTTTTTTTTTAATTGTTGGCCACGTTAGTTCTAGTCTCTGAGCCACCAGAAATGTGGTAGATCGGTCCATACTATTTCTGGAAAAAGTATGCGCTCCTTTTTATCATAGTCACGTTGAATCTTTTAAACACAAAGCGATGGTTTGTGGCTCCTGGTTTACTGCTGTTTCTGCTGCTGAAGACGGCTTCTCTGAACCCACTGAACCTTCTTGTTTGGTGTTGTGGGACTTTCCGGGGAGAACTGGATGGAGTTTTTGGCTGCTTTTGTCTTCCCTGCTAAAGATGCCAGAAGATCCTATAGATGGGCCTCCTTCCAAAAAAAAAAAAAAAAAAAACCTAGAATAACTCGGAGCCAGCAAGAGAAATTTCAATAATGATGAGTTTAAAACCCAGCCTCGGGGACGAAAGCTTTGAGTGTGAGGACATACACTTTCCTAGATCTTTTGTGACACACACCACTGAGAACAGTTAACACAGAGGAAAGCCATCAAATCAAGTAATGTGCGCTGAATGTTTAACACATAGCTCTCCATGGAGGATAGAAAAATACATTCCTTTTTTGTTGTTGTTGCCTAGCTGTTAGGGAGGGCTGGGAATGGCATTATAGGGTCTTAAAAATACCCAAATATAGGGTCTTGGAAATGCCCAAATCTTTCCTCCCCAAAGGCTTTCAAGTGAGCTCTACTGATGAGAAACAAAAGCAGAATGGGGATTCTCTTAATGACATATGCGTAGCAAAGAACTCAGTCACCAGGGTGTTCACTGTGGAAGCCGTGTTCCCTGGTAAAACCCCACGAAACCTGAATGTTCGTCAATAGGGCTGTTGGCTAAATGGGTTGTGGCATCTCCACACAACAGGATGTAAGGGTGCCATTAAGAAGAAAAAGCCAATTCAGAGATGCTGATGTGGAACAATTTCCAAGAAATATTACAAAGTGAAAAAGCAAGGGACAGAGCTGTGGGTGTCATCTTTTCCAAATTTAAAGAGGCATCATACATATATATGTATGTATGTATATGTGTCTATATATGCATATCCTTGGAAAATTTCTGGAAAAAGTATGCACAAAACTGTTAACCGTGGTTGTCTCTGGGAAGGACAACCCAGGCCCTGGGGTACAATGAAAGCCTCTGTCCTTTTTTTTTTTTTCCCTTCTTTTTCTTTCTTTTTTTTTTTTCTTTCTTTCTTTCTTTCTTTCTTTCTTTCTTTCTTTCTTTCTTTCTTTTTTTTGTACTGTCTATATATCTTATTGAATGCTGTTTCAATTAAAAATAACAGTAACTAGCAGAGGGACACCTGGGTGGCTCAGTGGTTGAGCATCGGCCTTTGGCTCAGGTTGTGAACCATGGGGTCCTGGGATCGAGTGTCACATGGGGTTCCCTGCAGGGAGCCTGCTTCTCCCTCTGCCTATGTAATCTGCCTCTTTCTGTGTCTCTCATGAATAAATAAATAAAATCTTAAAAACAAACAAACCAGCAGAATAACAGAGCTCAGCAGATAAGCGTGTTGGTCACTAGTGCAGGATTCTCGGGGGAAAAGACTATTTATTATGTTGCCACCTTCTCCCTGCCACGTCTATGTTTTGGGCCCCAGTGCCTGCTGGCAGGAAGTCACTGAGGGTGGGAGAGGTGCACCCAGCAGGCCGTGGGCCAGCGTGACTGGCCTCTCCTCTGCAGCAACTCTGCGTGCTCATGGACCCGGCACACCCAGTGCTGCAGACCAACCAAGTCAGCAGATCTGCATCGTGAGTGGTGGAGGGTGGGGGCATGGATTTTGGGTCACATTTGAATTCTCTGTTTAGCAGCACTGGTTCTGGAGGCCTGAGTCAAAGGTCTTCTGGGTTTGATCTGCTCCAGGGCTGCTGTTATAAACTGAATATTTGTGTCCCATCCACCTTCCCAAATTCATATGCAGAAATCCAACTGGCCAAGGTGGTGGTATTATGAGATGAGGCCTTTGGGAGGTGATTCAGTCATGAGCAGGGAGTCCTTGTGAATGGGAAAGCCCCCTGGTTCTCTTTCTGCCACGTGAGGACACAAAGAGAAGTTGGCAGTCTGCACCCTGGATGAGGGCCCTCCCCCAACCGTGCTGGCACCCTGCTCTCAGACCTCCAGCCTCCAGGGCTGTGAGAAACAAATTTCTGTTGTTTATGAGTTACACAGTCCAATATATTCTGTTACGGCAGCCTGACTCAAGACAGCTACCCACAACAGAATAGAGATCTCGAGGGGCATGCAGCTGCCCTGCACACCCCCAGACTGGCTAGCTCTTAAGTGAGACCTGGTCAGGGCCCGCCTTGGACCCTGATGGAAAGCCCTGACCTATGATCCCCTATGATCCCCTATGATCCCCGCCTTGTCCACTCGCAACCAGCTTCCCTGTGCAGCCACACCTGCAGCCCCGGCCCTCTTATCCTTGAGACGAGTTCTAATTGTCTACCTGCCCCAAGGCCTTTCTCTGTCCTGTGGAGGCCTCCAGCCCTCATTTCATTCCCTCTGGGAATGTCCTTTCTTCTGCTTTTCTCCATTTTCTGTCTGGTTTTCTCCCCAGGGTAGAAAGAGGCTGCAGCATCTCCAGACCTTTTGACTTTCCAGCTTCAGATGCCATTGAGACAGCCCCAGTCCCCTTTATAGAAACCCAAGTAAGAGTTACCACTGTTCTTCAATGCCTCCAGCTGGGTCAGATGTACATCCCTGAATCAATGAACAACTAGTCACCTCATCCAAGGGAATGTGACATGCTGACTGCGACCAGCCCTTTGGGCAGGGTTGGAGGCAACTCTATCCCACCTTCCTGGATGTGGGTGGTGGAGAGCAGAGGGACAGTGTACAAGGAGGGTCTGGGTCCCCAAAACAGCATTTGAATTCCTGATCAAGCTGTAGCTTGGGTCAACCCTGCCCTAGTTGTGTTTTTCGTTGTGTAAAATTCTGTCCTTTGCTTCAGCCATTTTGGGTCAGGGCTTGTGTCATTGTTACTACTCTCAACAGGAGTTCTGGTTGTAAGAAGAGGGACAGATGTTCACACACAATTCCATTTTTGTAAAAGAAAAAGACACGTGCGAGCGCATGTGTGCAAGAGTATGTGTGTCAGAGAGAGAGAGAGTCTGGAATGATATCCATAAAAAGGTCACAGCGGTTATATCTGGGCAGCAGGATTGGAGGCAATCGTCTTTTTTGCATTTTCTAATTGTTACTTAGTGGGCACGAATGACTGTATGATAAAGTCAGCTGGGCCTGTCACTTGCGGAGAGCAAGAGGAAGCCTATCTAATCTTGTCGTTGGTGTTGTAGGAGACAACATGAGCCAGCAGCTAAACAGAAGCCAGAACTGCTCCTTCAGTGACGTGGACGAGGTGATGAAGACGGTGCAGTTGGCTGTCCACATCCCCACCTTCCTCCTGGGCCTCCTCCTCAACCTGCTGGCCATCCGAGGCTTCAGCACCTTCCTTAGGAAGAGGAGGTGGCCGGATTACGCCGCCACCGCCATCTACATGATCAACCTGGCCATCTTTGACCTGCTCCTGGTGCTGTCCCTTCCGTTCAAGATGGCTCTGGCCAACGTGCGGGCCCCCCTTCCTTCCCTCTGTACCTTGGTGGAGTGCTTCTACTTCATCAGCATGTACGGGAGTGTCTTCACCATCTGCTTCATTAGTCTGGATAGATTCTTGGCCATCCGGTTCCCGTTCCTGGTCAACCACCTCCGGTCGCCCAGGAAGATCTTCGGGATCTGTTGCACCATCTGGGTCCTGGTGTGGGCTGGGAGCATCCCTATCTACAGCTTCCATGGGAAGATGGAAAAATACACGTGCTTCCACAACATGTCCGACGGCACCTGGAGCGCCCAGGTCTTCTTTCCCCTTGAGGTGTTTGGCTTCCTCCTTCCCATGGCTGTCATGGGTTTCTGTTCCTCCAGGAGCATTCACATTCTGGTAGGTCGCCGGGGCCTCACCCAGGACTGGGTCCAGCAGAAGGCCTGCATCTGGACAATTGCGGCCAGTCTGGCTGTCTTTGTGGTCTCCTTTCTTCCAGTCCACCTGGGTTTCTTCTTGCAGTTCCTGGTACGGAATGGCTTCATCGTGGAGTGCAGAGCTAAGCAGAACATTAGCTTGTTTTTGCAATTGTCCATGTGTTTCTCCAACGTCAACTGCTGCCTAGATGTCTTCTGCTACTACTTTGTCATCAAAGAATTCCGCATGGACATTATGGCCCACCGGCCCTCCAGGGTCCAGCTGGTGCCCCAAGACACCATGACTAGCAGGGCCTAAGGAGAGAAAGACCCTCCAGAGGAAGGAAACCCCAGCCCCAAATCCTAGTAGCAGATGTCCTGTTCCGAGGTTTCTGATGTAGTGGATGAATGTGGCACATCTACTGGTGTGCTTTTCCTTTTGGTGCTCACAGAACACCATCTTTGCTCATTATGCTCCCAAGACCATTCCCCAGCACCCAGGCAACTGGACATAAATCACTTGGTATTGGGGAATCTCTGAAGGACCCAAGAACCAGGTGAATTCTTTATTACTAGGTTCAAAAAGCATGAGGCAAAAGAATTGAAGAAAAGAGCGAGGCCATCTGAGCAAGACTGTTTCCCAGCTCCCCTCATCCTTCTAGTTAGACTAAAAGATTCTGGAAAGGAAGAAAGAGGAATGAGGAGAGAGAACCAAGAGGGTTGGTCATGGTGAGTGGAGGTTTGGGCAGAGATGGAGCAGTAGGGATGTATCAAGCTCCTATTTTAGTTTGGGAATCCCAGGGTAGAGCAGACTGGCACCTCCCAGTCCCTTCTCTGGCTCTGGTGGCCATTAACCTCATAGCTAGTGGGGTGTTGGAGCCGAGCAAGATTATACAGAGAGCCCCAAGTTTCCTATGGGAAAGAAAGGTCCAGAAGGCCAGCCAAACCTTCTTGTGTCCATGAGAAGGCTGCAGAAGGATGAGGGAAGCTGGTGTGAGTCAGGCCGTGGCAAAGATATAGATGCTTCTTGGAAGCAGTGGGGACAGAGTGGAATGGCGTTGGTGACACCTGAGGCCACGAGGGACTAGGACACACCTGGGGAAGGAAAGAAACAGGCCAAGGGCTGGAAGTGGACAGCCACCCCCCGCTACTATCATGGTGTCCATTACATGGAGCTCTAGCACTGGCCTTGGGGGAAGAGAGGCCGTGGAGACAAGCCTAGGAGAGGGGGAAATTCCTGAACGTGACCAGCTTGCTGTCTTGAATAGACTGGGAGATGGTCCATTAGACTGTTTCACTGAGAACGATGAGAAAGAATCAGGCTTGATTTGGTTCAGCCAGAGGAGGATAAAGACCATGTGCTTGTCTTGCCCACCTGAGTCCTGTCTGAGCGCTGGCCCAGTGACACTGGCCACAGAACTGTCCCTCTCCAGGGGCTGGGAGGGAGAGAATGAGCCAGCCAGGGTTTGGAGGAACCATCTCGATGACACAGAGCTCCTGGCAGTTCCTGGTTGGAGACTGTAAACAATTGAATCACGGTTTGGTCTGGGCTTCTCTGATGATCTTGAGGAGGAGCTGTGGTGACAGCTGAAAAGCCTTCTGATGACTCAAGCTGCTCCAGAGAGTAAAATGATTACAAGGATCAATTGTGGGGTGGTTTTGCAAGACGGAGTGAGTGGGATGACATGTAAGAGATAAGACTTCATGTGAAAAGAAGCGGGGGGGGGGGTCTTTGGGAAGAAAAAAATCACTGTCTACCTGTAGGGAGGGAGGCTTCCACCCCCATGTCATGGACAGAAGGTAGGGGGCCTGCGTGGTGGGGAACGGGGTGGTTTAGATAAAACCCTGACGGAGGAGGAGGAGGAGATTGGGCGATTACCCCAGGCTTGCAGCCACAGGGCCCTGTGAAGCGGTGGGCGGATGGGGAGGAAGGATGGAGGGCAGAGCTGCTTCCTGCTTGAGAATCCCCAGCTCCACCCAGAGCCATCCAAGGGCAGGAGCCCCTCTACCTCTGTTTCTGCCACAGCCAACTCAGCGGTCGGGTGGAGGTGAGGGTGAGGAAGCAAGTGTCGATGCAGGGGTGGAAATGGGTGCAGAGGAGTGATCCCAACCAGGATCAGCGGCTCCCACCCCACAGACTGGGCCTCCAAGGAGCCAGCAGCCTTCTGGCCCCTAGAACAATGAGAAAGTCTTGTTGTTAAAGTCTATGGTATTTGTCACAAGAGCCCAAGAAGACCAATATGACAGCCATCTCCTGCTGACCCAGGAGCCACCTCCCATCTGGGCTGTGTCCTCGGAGGGGCAGGACTGACCTTACTTTGGGACAGCACCTCCCCACCCCCAACCCCGGGGACAACGCTAGTGCATGAGCTGCGCTTTCCTCTTGAATCTCTCTCTGGGGACCCTGTGAGGCTGGAAGTCAGTATATTCATGCTTTCCATTGGCTATGGGTTCTGATGACATTTGCAATAGGAAGACAACAGCCTTGTCGCAAGTTGCCACAAATAAACACTAATTGCAAAGATGCTTGAAGTGGCTGAGGGCTGGCAGGTAACTGTGGAGACCAGAGGCTAAAGGGGATTTAGCTAATCGATCCGTGGGGAGAGCCTGCTATGCGGGGCGGTCTCCAGGTAAGGACACAGGCATGGCATGGAGATGGTGGAGACCCCCCACGGAGCCGCCCTCCGCCGACCCTAGTGATGTGGACAGTGCCCTCGGGGCCAAGGGAAGGCAGCTGAGGCCACCGTGAAAGCCCCGCTGCTGAGGGCGGGCAGGGGACCTCAAGGTCCATAAGAGTGGTACTTTGGCTGGGAAGCACCCCCTGCAACTACCATCGTGGTCCCCTCTCGCTTTTCTCCACCCGCAGCCGGCCTCCCCCGTGCGTTTCCCCGGGATGCACAACCACGAAGAGGCGTTTGAGGGGATGTGGGTGGCAGGGCAAGGAGGACCTGTGGATCTTGAGGCAGAAGGACAAACAGACGCCCCTCTGCCCAGCATGGGCCTGAGCATCCCGTCCCAGCCAGGAGCCTGCAAGATGCGTCCTCCTCACAAGGCCACTGCGGGAGGGCCACGTGGCACGTTGATGGGGAGCACAGGTGGCCCGCTGCCCCTTGCAGCCTGGTGAGATGTGAAGCACTGTCACTTCAGAGCCCGACGTCAGTTCTGCTTGGTGGAGCGGCCCTGAGCTCACCCAGAGCCTCTGCCAGCCTTTGTTCTGGGGGCCATCACTGGAGCCAGCAACCCAGACACCCCACTGTGAGGTTGGTGGGGGGGGGCGCCTATTGTCACGCAAACCCTGCAAAGTGCGTCTCCTGTTCCCCTGCAAGAGATCTCTTCACTGGGGACAGCGGGGGCGAGGCAACCGTGCAGGTGACGGTGCACAGATACGTGTGTGCCCGCTGGCGGCCTGCAGAACTGAGGACAGGGACCCGGGACTCGGCTTGGGCTGAATGCTGGTGGTCCAGGGATCAGAGATGCGGGGTCCAAGCCGATTCCCACGGATGAGGTGTCTGAGACGGAATGACTCTGCCTTGGGGAACAGACCGGGTCCAGGAACCCCGTGATCGTGTGGGAGGTCCAGGGTCAAACCACAGCCCCATCAGGGGATGGTGGGGCTTCCCCCGAGAGCAGAGAGAGGCCCTGTGAACTACGGGGCGGCACCAGATCGGTGGGGAGACCTCGCCCTCCCCCAGGCGTGCTGGGCTCTGGGCTCTGGGAACGGCCCCCTCCAGAGGTGGGTTCGAGCCCCCTTGCTGTGCTTCCCCTCCCCCCCCCCGCACCTCCCCCCCCCCCCGCCGGGTTTGTAAGTCTCAGGCATGGACTTGAAGTGGCAGCCGGAGCTTTGCTCTCCCTGACGGGAGTCCAGTGTGTGCAGCAGAGCAGAGCGTGGCACAAGGGCAGGATGGGGGGCATGCGGGGAACTCGGCAGGAGGAGACCAGGGAACACCTGGGGAGAACTCAGAAGGAGGAGAACCCAGGCCTGCGCTGAGGGCCTCAGAACCACCCGGCAGTAGGTCCCCATCAGAGAGGGCTTGGGCGCACCTCACCCAGAGGCCCACCCAGAGGACAGTGGCCGTAACGCTGGGTCAGCGGCTCACACCAGCCACTCGGCTGGATCTGCTCTGGGAGGAGAGGTTGGGGATGCGCATGTGGCTGGCCCCAAGACGTTGCCTTGTTCTGGGAAGGAATGCAAAAAGGGCAGGTAGAGAAAGTCTCTGGGAGCAGAGGCAGCTGGGGACAGTGGTCCCTAAGTGTGGGGCCTCTCGAGAAGCCAGACCCAGTGTCTTTGCCTCAAAGTGTCTTGGAGACGTCCAAGCGCATGGAGTGTGCTCAGGGCAGAGCCCCACCTCGAGGGGGCAGGGCGATGGGGGTGGGCTTGGGTGGTGGGCTTTCTCAGCGCTCAACTCATGGTCCACAGCTTTGGGGAGCTGGACGGTACAAGGGACCAGCCAAAAAGCCACAGTGCCAGTGACGTGTGAATGAGCGACATTGATTCCAAGAAGGAGTGCACGCAGGGCCTCCCAGGGCTCCTAGCTCCCAGGTAGGGGACTTGGGGCCTGTTATGGACTCCATCAATGTTCGCATCCTCCCCAAATTTATGTGTTTAGATCCTCACCTCCAGTAGGATGGTATTAGGAAGTGGGGCCTTTGGGGGTGATTAGGTCATGAAGGTGGAGCTCTCGGGAGTGGGATCAGGGCTTGTATAAAGACACCCCAGAGAGCTCCTTGCACGTCCTGCCACGTGACGACACAGCGAGGAATCACAGTCTGTGAACAGAGTGAGGGATCTCCCCAGAACCCGACCGTGCGGGCACCCTGATCTCGGACCTCCAGCCTCCAGAACTGTGGAGAAATAAATGCTTGTTGTTGAATCCCCTGTCTATGGTGTTATGTAATAGCAGCCCGAACTAAGACGGGACCCAATTTAGCAATGAGTTGTTTGAGAAATTGAGGAAATGTTATTTACCAAAATCCCCCTTCAAAAAGGAAAGTATTTGGGAAAGTCCCTGGGGCTCAAAGTGGGAGAAGCTGTTCCAAGAAAGAATCGATTACTTCAGAAAGGGAGGAAGGAGGAAGGGAGACCAGAGAGCGTCAGGGAGCAGGAAAGACCTAGAAGGATGGCAGAGGGCATGTGTGACCTGGAAAATCTTCCCTGGAAGTGATGGGGAGTCGTGTAGGGCCCAGCATGAGCAGATGTGCAAACAGGGGGATGGGAGGCTTGGCAGCCGGCAGCCTGGAGCAGCACCTGGGAAAGAGAGGCGGAAGGTTGTCAGCCATGGAGCGTGTGGTCATCACGGTGGGGGCGGGGGTGCTCTGTTC